GGGGGATTTAACTAACTGAAAGCCAAGAACCTCCTCCCGCGTCTGCAGACCGTGACTCCAAAGGGTTAATCAGCAGCTCGCGGCCGGTGAGGGGTTTGCTGGAGACTTAGTCGCTGACCAGGTGGGGTTTCATACTGAATAATATTTATGCGCGCACGGACCTGAGCGGGGGAGAGGGGGAAAGTGCTTTCGGCAGAAAGCGCCGCGGTCCCCACTCGGGAAGGATTTCAGATCCCGGCACCCAACTTCCCCGCAAGGCGAGGGCGCCGCACCCCGCAGCCCCGCCTCCCTCCCGCACGTATCAGAACCGCCGCTCCCCGCGCGCGGGTGACGATCACCCCGAAGGTCGCGGGTCCAGGGGAACCACTGCGCCAGGGAGGGGCGGGGTGAGGAGTGTCAAAGGCCCCCTCCGTGTACACAAACACACCCCCTCGCGGCCCCTCCCAAAGCTTTGAAATCCCATCCCGGCTTTGTTGTCTCCCCCGGAGGGGCCGAGCGCTCGCAGCCGCCGTATAAAGGCGGCGAGGTGGCGGTGGCGGCGCAGAGCTCCGTGCGCCCCGCAGCCCGGACCGGGGACCGCTGGAGGCTCCCGGAGCCCTGACTGGCCGCCGCGCGCCCCAGGCACGGCCTGCTGGGGACCGGGCTCGCAGAGCCACAGCCTCCTTCCTCTCTCCCTCTCGGTCTCCCCGTCTCCCTCGAGCTCTGAGATGAAGGTCCTGGGCGCAGTGGGGGCGGCTCGGGTCTTGGTCGCCCTGGTGGCAGCGGCTCTTTGCGGCCACCCTCCGCGGGCAGCGAGCGCCACCTTGAACTCGGTTCTCAATTCCAACGCCATCAAGAACCTGCCCCCGCCGCTGGGCGGCGCCTCCGGGCACCCAGGCTCCGCGGTCAGCGTGGCCCCGGGAGTGCTGTACGACGGCGCGAACAAGTACCAGACCATTGACCACTACCAGGTAAGGAGGGCCTCGGGGACCCGGCGACGCCGCGCCCCTGGCGAGGGGCCGTCTGGGAAGAAGGGCGCAGAGCGTGCCGCGCGCGGGGCCGGAGCGTTCGGGCGCCGCGTTTGGGAGCAGTGGGCGGCAATGCCTTTTGCACAGGTGGGCAGAAGCGGTCGGCGAGGAGCGCCGGGGGTCAGGGAGGCGGGCCCTGGGGGCCCAGGTGCGTCATGCCCTCCCGCCCCTTCCCGCAGCCCTACCCGTGCGCGGAGGACGAGGAGTGCGGCGCCGACGAGTAC